TTCGGAGTACTTTATTTAAAATATAATTACCAGAAAGTATTGCTTCCCCCCACAAGTTCTGAGGTAATCCAGAATTTATTAACATGACATTCATTATTTCTTTTAAAATCTTATTTTTCCTTTAAGCAATTTCATTTTGCTAAGGTGAGTAAAGAGCCGTGGTTTGATGAATTATTCCATGTTATTTACAATATTCACCAAAAGGTGATTCATATTCACCACCTCTATCACTTCTAAGTTTCTTAATTTTCTTACCAAGTTGATTTTCAACTTCATTATTTTATTGAATGAAAGTTTCCAAAGTTTCATCTTTGGTTCGAATTAAATAAACATAATTATATCTAGTATAGTCATCTATAAAAGTGATAAAATACTTTTTTCCACTTCTAGTTTGAATTGATTTAAAATCACAAATGTCACTATGAATTAATTCAAGTGGTTCCGTACTTCTTTCAATTGAATGAAAAAGAGTTTTGGATAATTTTGTCTCAAAGCAAATTTCACATTTATGACTTGAATTAATGTCAAATTTAGGTAAACATTTCATATTAATTAATCTATGCAAAGATTCATAATTAACATGTCCAACTATACCATGCCATAAATTTGAAGACTCAAGCAAGTAAGAAGAAGATGTATTTTTATTAATAACTGAAGGTACAACAATCATTACATTCATTTTGAAAAGGCCATCAGACATGTAACATTTTCCTATATACATCCCGTTTTTGATAAGTACAAATTTGTCACTTTCAAAACTAGCCTAAACTTATTTTTACTCAACAAAGATCCGGAAACAAGGTTCTTGCCAATGTCCGATACATGCAGCACATTGTTGAGAGTGAGTTCATTTCCAGATGTCATATTCAGAATAATATTTCCTTATCCTTCAACTTTAGAAAGTCGAGGAGTTGCCCATAAAAAGTTGTTCACCGTTTTCCACTGTATAATAAGATGTAAACATATTTTTGTTTACACACATATGGCGAGTAGAACCAGTGTCCATCCACCATTCTTTAGGATTTTTTACAAAATTTGCCTCGGAAACAGTTACAGAAAAATTTATAACATCTACACCATTGAAATTTTTTTCCATTTCGGTTATATTGGCTTTAGTAGCCTTCTTGCTTGATCTTCCTTTGCCTTTGCAAAAATCAGTTCTTAAGAACTTCTCAGACTTTTTACCACGATTCACTGGTATAGTCACAACACGAGGAGGGGTTGGTGCAATTGCAGCCACCATGCTAATATTGGTTCGAACATTAGTTTGACCAGTTTCTATAGCCATGAATTTTAAATTATAAAACAAAATTATAATTAGAATTTTTATACTATACAGAAAATTAAACCAAACTTACAAAATTAAATTCTGTAAAAATAAAAGAAATAAGAATTGTAACTTTTATTTTCAATTAATTTGAAAATAAAAAATTTTTTTATTTAAAACAAATTAATTCCACACAGAAAATTAAATTCTATAAAAAAAAAAAACAAGAGATGTAACTTTTATTTCCAATTAATTTGAAAATAAAATAAAATTTATTTAACCAAATAATTCTACACAGAAAATTAAATTTCTGTAACACTTCAAAAATTAAAATACAGAAACAGAATTTTAATTAATGAACACTCAGAAATAATTTTAGAAAACCAAAATTAATTTCTGACCAACTTCATAAATGAATATTCTGAATTGTTAATGACTTCAGTATATTACTACTAGTTGTCTAACAAAATAGATACACTACAAAAAAAAGTGTCTTTTGCGACGGCAAAACGCCGTCGCAAATGGTCCATACGCCGTCTCTAATACTTTTTGCGACGGTAATTTGGCTTTTTGCGACGGCACGTGGGGGTCGCGACAAAGGGGGTTGCAAAAGGGCTTTAGCGACGGTAAGTGCCGTCGCCATTGTTTTTTGCAACGGGAGACTGCTTTTTTTTGCGACGGCAATGTTCTGTCGCCAATAATGGAAGAAAATCTGAGTTTTTGCGACGGTACAGTATTTCCGTCGCTAAAATGGGTTATTTGAGACGGCAATAATGCCGTCGCTAAAAGTGTCGTAGCTGATAACTATTGCCGACGGCAACCTGAGCCGTCGCTAAAGGTTTTATTTTCAATTACATTCCATGGCTTTTGCGACAGTATGGCTGCCGTCGCAAAAGCCTCGTAGAATTTTTTTTTGCGACGGGTTGTTATGCCGTCTCAAAAAAAAAAAAAACCTGTTGGGAAATTATTAAAAAAATTAAAATAACCTGTATTAAATAAAAAATAACTATAAAAAAATCCAAAAATTACATAATAATATAAATACATACATAAACAAAAGTTGACAAATAATGAAAATTCATAATGTTGTTCCATTCATAACAATACATAAATAAAAATTCATAACAATAAAAATTATGCCACTACATAATGTCGCATACTACATACATAATGTTATTCACAAATTTAAATAACATAAATCAAAATCAAAACCAAAAGTTTTCGTCTTGATGTTATTCACAAGTTTGCGACGGGTTACAAAAAAAAAAGTTGGTAATAATCTTTGTACGCCCACATTCCACAAGAAGCAAGCTGCTACTCAGGAAATATCTGAAAAAACCAAGATAGAAATAATTAATAACCATATAATAGTGTTAATATTTTAATTACAGAAAAATATAAAAAAAAATTGACTACTATATAATTAGAAAGATAGTTTAGTAAATAATTTTGACTAGACCGAAATCCGACTCTAACTCCCAAACCGGGAACACGATGCGAGCCCTGTCTTCTCCCACAAGTCTCTCATGCCTAGGCGGTCCGCGTGTGCCAAGTTTCGTGCTAAACCGACGTTCGTTGTTGGTGATTGTGGAGCATTAACGTATCGAATTCACGTTTCTTAAGGAACTAGTGTTGCCTAAGTGAAGATCCGGCTCTACCCAAACCGGGAACCCGATTCAGCCCGTCTCTCCGCACAAGTCTCTCGTGCCTAGGAGGTGTCGTGTGTGCCAAGTTTCAGTGCTAAATCCGACGCCGTTCTGGGTTGATTTTGGGGCGTTAGAAACCTCTGGAATTCAGAGTTGTTCTTAGGAGTACGTTTCCTAGAAAGTGAGAATTCGGTCTCTAACTCCCAAAACGGCGAACTCCGATTGAGCTCGTCTTCTCCTACAAGTCTCTCGTGCCTAGGCGGTCGTGTGTGCCAATGTTTCGTGCTAACAGCCGACGCTGTTTGGTGAATTTTGGGGCGTTAACACCGTCGATTCAGTTTCTTAAAGATAGTAGTTTACCTAAAGTGAAATCCGGCTTTAACTCCCAAACCGGGAATCCGATCGAGCGTCCGTCTTCTCACACCAAGTCTCTCTGGTGCCTAGGCGGGTCGTGTGTGCCAATGTTTCATGCCTAAACGACGCCGTTTGGGTGATTTGTATGGGCGTTGAACACCTCGGAATTCAAGTTTCGAGCAGCATC